ATTTGTTATCATAGTAGTGTTGAAACACAGCTCACTCAGTCAGAATGCTCAAGTATCCTTGTGACTGAGGCTCCCAGTTGTGACCAACAAAATGACAAAGGACCTCCACTACGTGAGACTGATGCGTATTGAGCAAATGCTGACCTCCTTCCCACCTCAGTCCTGGGGATGGCTATCAAATTCCTGTGGACTTCAACGGTTTTTCAGTGCAGATAGTTTAAATAAATTCCCAGGTTGTTCTTTGCTGGGGAGTCCATATCTGCCATGGGTTAAAAAGTGGCAGCAAGTTCCTGTGCTTCTGGTGGAAATCTGTACGTTGACAGAATTGCAGACTAGTAGGCTCTAAAAGGGACAGTACTAATGTTATGACTGCATTTTTAAAAAAAGATTTTCTATGTAAAAGCTGCAGAACAGTACTCTGCAGAGGCATGAACTTGCTTACTGCTGCCTTGGCAGGTTGCCTCCTCCCAGGTGTTGCCTGTTGTCTCAGTTCTTCCTTTTATGGGACTGTATGTGTTATTTCATTTAAATTTCTATCCTTTTTTTATGATTTATAAATAATTTAGAAAGTATTTCCAGAAACTAAGGCTGATTTTTAATTTTTTTTGTTTTCCCCTAATGAAAGAATCCACTAAGCAGGGAAAATAATTTTTTTTTTAATGCCAAAATCAACTTATCAGTGCTTCCTTGAGGGATAACAGAGAGGAGCAAATGTTCATTAGGGATGAAGACATGGCTCTGCAATTCTCCTTGTATGCCCCCTCCAATGTTCTGTTCCTCAGGCACCCAGCTAGGAGGCATTGCTTTCTGAAGACTAAAGGTGAGGAAAGGACTGTTCTGTTGTAGGTACATCAGCGTGGCTGTTGAAGAACGTGCCATCTCTCTCTTTTTTCCCCCTTGTCTTCATAGGTGTAAGAAATCAGCTTTTCACCTTGCTTTTTGTATTGGTATGTAGAATGCCAGTGGGATAAAGATGTCCTTGTCACGCCCTTTGTGGGACGAGGTTCAAATTGCTGAACTCTGAAAGTCTCCAGCTCATCTAAGAGATGGCAGCACAATGTGTTTAGAGAGCGCTTTCCTAAGGGCATGTGGGAATGAGCAGGAACTGGCTCGCAGTTCAGACCTGTCTGAGTTGTCGGGCAGTCTGGAGGTGTCGGTGCGAGCTGCTTTGTACCCCCAGGTTTTGGGGGGTACTATGGAGAGCCTGTAGTGGTGGTTAGATTGAGATGAGCACCCTGGCCACCAAGGATACACCTGCACTGGCCAGACAGGGTCTGTGACTGCTCTGAGAGCAATGGGAGTCTAGTGGACAATCTTAGATTTGGTGGCCCTCGTGATAGATATTACTCAAACATTTTTGACTTCTTAGTAACTGCAAATGCATTCGGAGATTCCAGTCACTGGGATGACCTGTATTTCCCCACCCAGTGTGCTGGTTTCCTGCTTCCTATCTCTGTGGTATTTAACTATTTTGTGAATTTGGTGCCCACAGCTGCAAACTTCAAGCCTATTTAATGAGTGAAGCATCAGGTGTTCAAACATCATTGGGCAGGATGGCTGCCAGTGCTGCTAGCTAACACTATATATGAATATTTTTCATCCATTTCCTGCAGCCGATGAGTATCCACGTGTTGTAAATGGGGAAACGGAGGAAAAGGGATGTAACGTCTCGCCAGCGTTGGCTGGCAAATTGGATGTTCAGAGTCCCATGGCAGTGATTTGTCTTTTCATCCATATCGTTTCCCTCTTTCCCCACGGTTCCAACACACCATAGAGCTACTTTCAAAGCTTTAATTCAAGTTTAAGCAAAAAAAATTATGCTGACAGCGTACACTGGAACTACATTCAAGGAGGCAATGATACAGTAAAGTGCTGAGTTCCAAGTTATTCACGTTTTGCCTGGAATTTGTTTATGAATTTACTTACTGTCTTCTCTGAAGGAGAAAACACTGGGTTTGTGTTTATAGGCTCGTCGGTTTTGAGTCATCTGTGTTTAACTCATCTTGCAGGCTGTTAATGCATTGAAATAATAAGGAGGTATGGTAAAAGGAATTTGCTTTGCGTGTCTTATTGCGAAGGCAATAATAAATTGGCTTTGTTCTACGAGATGCTGAGCTCCCCTTAGGAAGTGCTGACAGCATGCTTATCTCCCCATACTTCACGTGCACGCAGGAACGTGTTCTAGCTAAAGCAAAGGAGTGAGCTTGTTGATCTCGTGTATGTTTGTCTGCGCGGCATTAAACAGTGCTATCTGGCACTTAATCACTGCTGATTTAATTAGCTCTCACAGCAAGGATGCTTTGATCCAAAGCACCTTGCAGCTATTTGGCTAGGAAACTGATAGTAAAAAGCTATGCGATTCTGCACTGAGCCAAAAGCCCTTCTGAAAGGAAGGGTAGGAAATACAAATACTTACCGATTTTTGCACAGCAACTTGAAATTAATTGTTTTATGGCAATTAAAAAAAATTCTCATACTTATTCAAATTTAGACCATGAACCTTGGCATCCTGTCCAGATTAGCATTCCTAGAAATTTCTATAGTTTCAGGATCGCTTCTTCAAAGAACAGGTAATGACTTTTCCTCAAAATATTTCTGTGCCCTGTTTTGAAATGTTGCTGGTGTGGGATTCCCAGTGAGGTCTCCCTCCGGAGCAGTGGAATTTAGTGTCATCTTTCACCTGTGTTACTCATTCTGCACGAATGATGTTCCCTAGAACTCCTTGCAGCTTTTGGGAGTTTTCCACATTGACTTTGGAGGTCTGTGGGCCTCAGCTAGCCATGCTATTTTTCTAGAGCTCTTACTGAGGTCCTTCTCTGGCAAGACCAGTGTTGCCTGTTGTAAGCAGGAAGCAATGAGCTTCTGTACTGATGGTACTGAAGAATGGAGTATCCTTCAAAACTGTAGTTTTGGTCCTGCTTCTGGTTTTGTTTATGGTTGTTCTCTTCTCCCTTCCTCCAAGCAAATGCAATTCCTTATTTTTCTGCGCATTCCCTGCCAGAAATGGGAATGTTCATCCCTTTCTTTCCTAGTCAGCCTAAGCAGCAGCTTTGCTTGCTCTGTCTGCTTCTGGATTCTGCAGTGGTTCTCGGTTACGCCATGGAAATATATCCATTTCTACTCTGAAGGCACAGCCAAACTAGGCATGAGGGCAAGTTGGCAGAAGTTCAGAAAAAATAAGTATTCAGGTTGGAGGGAACACAAGAGTGCCCAGAGGCCAAGTAGGCTCTGAATTTCAGCAGCTCAAAACCTGCTTGGTACAGGGAATCTGCTGTGAGTTTTCAATGCCCAAGTAATCTCTCTCTTGAATGAAGCTGATCTTAACTAGGATGAGTGGGTTTTACTGTTGGCCCATCTGCTTATTTCAAAGTTTTCAGTTCTGGTAATATTTACATCGTTAGCCAAATTATTGCCTGGTGTACTTCTGTTACGTTTTTTTACTCCACTCCATTTACTTACGTATTTGGCTAAATACATTTCACTGGTGTAACTCCTTTTTGGACATAACAGGGTATTGCCCTCATGAAAGCCAGTCAATTGTGGGACATACAAAGTACTACTCCTGCCTTGTAAAACATCCCAGGAAAATGCCTGTTTCATACAACTCTTCCTGTTGAGACTTCCAGGGAGGACTGGGTCCTGGTTTGCTTGCCATTTTGTAAATACGTGATGCAAAAGCCCTGGCTCTCTTGCAAACCTGGAATTCAGCATCTGCTGGGTTACTCTGACCCGTGAGCCTGGCGGGTTTTGTTCCCAAGGCGTCGGCGCGCGCAGGCTGCTGCAGGGCGTGCTCCGGGGCGGAGAGCTGCAGGTTCTGCTCCACTGCGCTTCAGCCGACTCTGTTCAAAGCTGCTTGAGTTGCTGCAAGAGTGCAAAATTCTGCAGGTCCTACAAAGGTAATGTTTCCATAGTGGGTTTCCCTGAACAACTATTTCAGGGTTGAGCCCCAAAGTAACACGTTCTGTTTAATCAGACACCTTTTTCTGCCATTTTGAATTGTGTATAATACACTTCCTATGTATCGTTACTGTGGTAGGAAGTTACAATTCTTATTAACCTGCGTCTGAAAGTACCAGGACTTAAAACTGTAGTTGTGTTCCCACAGCAATGCTGAGTTTCCACTTAGTGCCATGTTTAGAAGCTGAAATGGAACCTTTTAATGTTTTGGTCTTGTCTGGTGCATGTCCTTGGCCAGTCACAGAGCACTTTTCACAGGGAGTAGAGCTTCCATCCCTATTTTGTAGGTAGAGAAATTAAGAAACAGAAAGGGAAAATGATTGCCTGACACCACTCCCATTAGAAAAGAGCTCTTGCTG